CGATTAATCTAAAACTTAGTTCTTTCCAAGATAACGTTCTGTCGAGAAGAATTCTAATTCTTTATGGCTGGGGTAAAAGTGAATCTAGACTTCTCGATAAAGTGAATACGTATATATTTCGTGAGCTTCACCAACAAGAGTCAAACCAGCAATGAATGCTGACATACACACTTTGCGGTATCTTTATAGATGCGGATCAAGCCAGACGCGCCTGCGCAACTAGAACGGGGAAAACAGAAAGGGGACCGGGCAAATGACCGCAAACCAGACAGTGTATCTAGGACACGCAATGTCATCGTCTGCTTCGGGGCAGCGAGTTGCTATGCGGGAATTGCAACAGTAGAGAGCGGTATTATAAACATGACGTAGGACACTGTAACTATTTCTTTCGGTGACAACATGCATTTCAGCAAGCTTCCATCATGCCTAGATATTGTTTCTAACTAATTTTGTTAAAAAAAAAGAAGTGGATTGTTCTTTTTTGCTCAGTAAAAAAAATTGTAGAAATCACAGTATTGTAAGTAAAACAAGGCATGGTAAAATACTGGACAAAGATCTCCATGAAGAATATTTTGGCAGGGCTTGGAACAGATTATATATTTTTTCCATCAGAACATGAGATAATTGCAATGTACTGTACTAAATATTTCAGAATGGAATTTTTTTTTTTATAAAAGTTTAAAACTCATCCTAACATCAATTACATTTATAATGGGGGACTTCCTTGAATTTCTTCTTGACACATTCTCAAAAATGTTTTGATGCATCACCATCAGGAAAGATTTATACAAGTAATGGAATTCAATGAAGAGACCCTTTATGAAATCTTAGAGGATCAAGATAAACTGTTGACCTTATATGATTTATCAACAAAGATTCTCTCTCTAAATTGCCCAATCAACTATACCTTATCTGGGAACAGGCTGCTGAAGACCTTATGCTTTAAATTGGGTTCATTGAATACTGTAATTGCTATAATTCTGGCATATGCTGCAATTCTTGTTACTGATACCTTGTTTTCAATGTAAGGGAAAGAAGGGGGCGCACGTATACACATCAGTTGTGCAGTTTTACAATGTGGAGTGTATTTTCTTTTATTTTGGTATCCATATATAACACAGTATTTCTCTGTTTCCCCTTCCAAAGTGATTGAATTCATTGGAATGTATGTGGGGAGGGGGTTTGGATGTGGGAACTTTTTATTGAACCTTGTGAGTGCTGTTAGAAACAGTAATATGAATTTGTTGAAGATTGATGGTTTTTTGACTGGTTTCTTTGAGATTTGAAATAACTGATTTAAACGCAATCAGCCGGGCTGCGGTGCTTTACACCGTAGTGTAAGGTTGATATATTTTTTGAGGTTTGGTAGGATTGGATTCAGCAGTTCAACAGACAGTCTTTTGGGTAAGACAACACAGAAGCAACTGATGATTGTATACAAAAACATTTCACTATTTAAACATTTCTCACAATTACATTTTTGTCCCTGAGCTTTATCCTTTGGAAGGATTTCCCCAAGAATCCCAAATCTTGTGGGAACTTGAGGTCAAGTGCAATCTCACCGGTTTCCGACCCTCTCGAAGCATCGCCGTTTTCCTGGCGCCAATGTAATCCTATTGTATTTTAGACTAAGTGCTGAAAAACAGAAAATAAAGCTTTCTGTTCACCTTCACCATCCGTAAATGAAAAATCATATCTATACCCTTGGACCCCTGCAAATGAGTTCAGAGAATTGAGAAATTACTCCAGCATATCATTTCACCCCAGCAAAAAAAAAGAATTCATTGTCAGATTCCAAGCTCAATACTGTATCAGTAATAGATAAGCACAGGACATCCCATATACCTCAAACTAAACCATATTTTATGAAGACCCAGGCATTCCAGTTTACTGTATACCCCGATAACTCTTATCTCTATACATACTCACTACGTATATACAATACAACGAAAAAAAAAATTCAGACACATTTCCTTTCAATGTCGGCGAAGAATTCCGCTCTGAAGTGACTCACATCGATTCACTCGAAATCGTTTCATATTTTTAAAAGTGAGATAATCGTGATGAATGCGGGAAGAAATCAGCGTGGAATTGCTTTGGCATTTGCTGTTATTTTGAATTTGCATCACGCGTGTTTAGCGCTGAATTTCAATCCCAGCACAGCATCCTACGAGGATTTTCTTGTTGAAATCACCGATGATGTGGATGCATCCGATTGTGTTCGAGTTTTGACGATTCTGGAGGTAATTACGCATGTATAAACTGGAAAAGTAGGGTCAAAAGTACGATTTACAGTACTGTAATTTATTACTGGTTCCCTTAAAAGCGACAACAAAAGAAAATATTCCAACTGGGATTAGTTCCTGATTCATACGCGCAGTTGGGGAATGTTTTAAGCCTATTCATGAAAATAGGAGTTTTGGTGATTTGCCAAAACTTGTCCTTGGAAGCTTCCATGAGAATTGAGTTTCACCCCAACTCTCACAGGAAATAGATGAAAAGACCAAATGGTCAAACAAATCTGAACCTTTAGAAAACCCAAAACAGTAACTGAAAACAGAAATAAAATATCTAAGCAAAAATCTCAGTGGAAATTCCAAGTACTTCTAAAATCCTTCTTCCCAAAAGGGATCCCACAGTGACTCCACTTTGACTTGGGCTGCAGTACCAAGAGGATCTCAAAGCACTCAGCAAATTTGGTGTTTGTGAAACAATTATACAAAAATGTATCAACATCAGAACAGAATGTTTAGGCACCCTGGTTGTAGTTCAACTGGATTCTTGTGTTTCATTTTAAGAATCAGAACTCAACATCAGTCTTTCCAAAACTAGCCATTTGGTTATTGTACAGTGTTGGGGACCCATCACTGCTGCTAGTGTGATGAGTGCCTCATTGATTGAGGCTAGAGTAAATTGGGTAGAAAAATCACCCAAGGGCAAACTCAGAAAATGGTTGAATTTAGAGCACCAGAAAAACCAGGAAAATTGTATGACCTTCTTCTAGGGCTTTCTGTCCCCAGAGTTGTCTTTGAGTCATATTTTCCTGGCCAATCCCAGGCCTCTCAAAAATTGCCTGATATCCAGCCAGAGTGTTGGATTAAGGCCAGTAACAATAATTAATAAAATATTAAGAAGGAATATGGTTTACGGAATGAGTCAGCAAAACAAGAACCAGCATTACTAACTAAATGATGATAGAAAAAATCATCAATTTTTTTTTCAAGCCAGTGATTTTTTCAGCCAGAGTGTTGGATTAAGGCCAGTAACAATAATTAATAAAACCCCATTTTATTCACAATTTCATCATCAGTCAAAAACCTAGCTGCTGTGCAGTGAACAGTCTGTTACTAATTCCAGGTTGCTGAGAGGTTTTTGCAGTTTAATAATATATTTTTGACTTCTTCAAATCATTGCTGTTTTTGGGACAATCTAATAAAAACAATTTAACATTAAAGTAGGGATTCTACGAAGAATCCCCAGCCTTGTCCCAGGCTGATTCTGTGTTTCTATTTCTAATTTTCTTGATCCATTTCATCCTTATGTTGTGGTGACTGTTGCTCCCATCATACAGTATTTCAGAAATCAGATATTTGGTCTTGAAACATTGAATCTTCAATTTTTAACCTCCAATTAAGCCACTTACAAACAATAATAGATTTGGTGAATTTGATTCAAAACATGTTTGGGAGGTAATTTTCAAGAAAAAATATGTTGTTCGCACATATAATGGAATTGCAAAAAGTATCACTGATGTAATTATAGACATTGAAAAGGTTAACATGGGAAATATTTTGGTGGTCAAATATTCCATTATCATCATCAATAAAAACAAGATTTTGGGGATTTAAAAAAACTTGGAAGAAAAAATTGCATTGCTCATGCATAAACACAATTTGGAATTTTTACTCATGTGCAAAGACAAGTAAAGTTATTCAAGTTTTTACAGTTAATTGTCATTATAATAAATTAAAACACCCATGAAGGTGGGAAGGGTTCAAATTTGAACAGAAGAAGTTCCATCTAGGAATTCATCCTCAGTTTAAAACTGTATTTAACTTGACAAAATTCAATCAGAAAATTATTTTATCCTCCCACCTGCCTTGATTTTGATTGAAATACTTGATTGCAAAAAAAATTGCTCATCAGTAGGTTCCCTTATATTTTACTGACAATATTTTGTAGAATTGAGAATCTAATGATCATTTTCTGCATTATCTCCACTGCTTCAGGAAATCATTTCAGATGGCTCATTGTTACTGAAAAGGGCAACCATTTCACAAGGAACTACAACACAAGGTGTTAGCATTCAGTCAGTGAGCATCAAAGTACCAGCAAGTTGGAGAAACCCTTCCAGTGGTTGTGGAATCACTGAAATCCAGGATCCAACCTGGGAAAACAGTTTCCCATCGGGTGCTGACCTTTTGGTGTCAGGTTCACAAAGGGGTCCAGGACTGAAAATGCCTCATACTATGCAGAATCTTGGGTGTGGGTCTCCTGGGTTACAAATTCACTTCCCAGCACAGTTTTTGCTCTCTTCTTCTGACCTGGGTGAGTTCTAAATTCCAATAGGAGGAATCTTGTCCCGGCAAGCTGACTCATTAAAATTACAAATGAACACTTGATTATTATACAAGAAGATTGCCATTGAAATTTCGGAAATTGAGAGACAACTTTTTCCTAATTCCACTTTTCTTTGACAGAATTTGGAGCATTATCAAGAAAAATAGTTTGTCAAGAAAAAGTAATTTTTTAAACATTTTTCATGAAGAGCCACCTTACTATTCTAACCTCTGTGAAATAGCCTACATACTAAATATTCTCTTTGATATTATACAATTTTTTTAGTAATGTCTTTGAGGTATTGCTACATAAGCAGTGAAGTTTGATTTATAACTGACCCCTCAAAACCCAAAAATATAATTTTTAAGTAAATTTATAAACTCTGCTGATTGTAAACCAAAAATGGATGAACCAACCAAAATTACTCATTTGTTTACATATGAAAATGCATGATGATGAGATATTCATTGAACTGTCTGTGATATTTCTTACAAATAATCCATTTTGAAAAATGCCTTCATACAAAAAATGTACCTGTAACATCTGCTTGAAAGATTAAACAGTATAAAAGATGTCAATAATGCAGGATTCACATCAATATAGACTGTGGAAATACTCCTTGAAGCACATCCAATAATGAATACATGAATAAATATTGTCAGAACATTTGATACCATTTGGTTCCTCAAAAGAGATTTAGAATATCCTCATTCCTTCTTCTTCTTCATCAATATCATCATTTAGTTAGTAATATATGCTGGTTCTTGTTTTGCTGACTCCTTCCTTGAACCATATTCCGTCTTAAAACATATTGCACAAATTTTTTTTTCCAAATTCTACCTGATTTTTAATATCATTATTCAATACAGAAACGAATTTGGGATGAAAATTTAAATTCCAGAGTGATAATTTTTCATTAAAAAAATTGAAGAAAATGCAAAATTTTTCAAAAACAAAGTCATTTATACTTAGAAAATAACCCCATTTTCCATAAAAATGCGTTGCATATCACGGTTCAAGAAACAAGGAAATAGTTCGTTATTATATTTTTTGTAAGAATAATCTACTTTCTATACCAGTGATACCAATTCTTGTTGGATTTGAACAAGAATCAAGTCTTCTCTTTCGGAACGAACAAATCATTCTGACCAATGCAGGAAAAAGACAGTCAGATATACTCGATCAAATACAGAAGCAAATAAAAACGTACTTTTTTGCACACCTGTACAGGATGCAATGGAGGGAAAATATTCCTGGCAGAATTCGCAAAATACAGGTACGGGGTGTTCGATGAACACGGATTCGAAGGAGATCCGATTTATCCTTTGGCCTACGCCAATTCCAACGGCCAACTCAGTCCAACAGCTTGTGCAAACCATCCTCCGGATGCCGAATTTTCAAACCTGTAAGTGAAATTCGTTTTTATATTCACGAGATTTTATTTTCATTTTAATAAATTCAGCCGTGTTTGGAATTTGAAAAAAAAGGGAGAGGTGTTGGTGGGACATGTCAAGTGAGAGCTGCTTTTGGGATCTGGTCAATGGCACAGAGACAATCGTGACCTCGGTCATGTCACAGCCACTCTTGGAACAGGTAGCAAATCATTTTCTCAAATTGATGACTTTTGACAGTTTTCAAATTGAGTAAAATCTCCTCACAACAAACTTCCAGCAGCAACGATATACGAGGTTTTAACAAAAGTTCTCAGAATGGAAATGAAAATGGCGTCTTATTGAGCGGAAAAAAATTATTCTTTAATTTGTTTTTCCGGAAAACATATTCTTTGGCGCCAACAAAAAGATCAGCCCTGTTTGACCATTTTTTTCAATGTTTTGCAAAATTCACTCTGGCGCAGTTTTGCTCTCCACTCAAAAGATGACGCGCCCTTCCTGCAGATTTTTTTTTTTTAGCCCAGCTTTCCCCTCAGACTTCTTGAAATTAATGTGGCATTAATTCTAAGGGTTGCCTCCAGAAGGTCCTCCAAGGCAATTCCGCCATTTTCATCAACAGCCGCCAAAGTGGCGGCTGTAAAGTTCTCATTCCGAGAACTTTTGTTAGAACCCTCGTATTAAAAAAATTTGCTAAAACGAAAAGTTAGTTGCAAAGAGATTTTCGTTTCCTTGACGTTGATGTGAGCCCGACATTTTATGAGACACAGTTGAAAATGTCTTATTTACAGTACTTACACAACAGATAAACAGCAAAACAGGCATGAGAAGAATTACCATAATTTACTATTTCTTTGGATGCCATGATAAAGAAAACTAAAATTTTAAAACACAATTATCTTCTTTCAGACCATCCTCTTTTAAATGTCCTGAAAACATGCTGACCTTTCTGATGCATACGCTCCAAAAACAGGAAATACATGATGTGTAAAAAGATTATTTATTCATCAACAAATGTGTATGTTCCTATTGAGGAGCACTAATCTTTCAATTCAACATTTCTAAATTCCGAAATAAAGCTAGATGAATTTTCATTAAAACTTAATAAAGTACTTACTGTAATGCTAAATTTTATTTACAAAAATATCAGCATTTATACTTTCGAAGGTACAGTATTTAGATTATGCAACTTTGGGCTTATGCATATTGTGCCCATTAGTAAACATTTTCATGGCCCTTACACACATCGTAAGGGCCATAAAAATGACCCTTATCAATGCAAAAGTTCGTTAAACTGAAATTTTAGAAGAAATTGTTTTATAACGGATTTTTCATACCATGATCCCGACGGGGAAACTGAATTATCCTGATGCGAGAAACACTTTTCGTAAATGAAGTGATGGCTCAGAATAGATATGAATTTCCCATTATAAATAAAAACAATAAACAAAACTTAAAAAAAAACTGGGACCAAAAGAATTTTTGCACCAACAAATTCTCTATAACGACATTCTTCGTAACGGGATTTTTACTGTTATTCTAAAAAATTATGAATCTTTAAAAACATATGCGGAACTTCCAGTTTAAAAATTCTATTTATTTTTTTCCTGTAAAGGCCAGCAAATTCTGCGGTTCATCGGATGACCACCCGCACAACAAAGAAGCGCCGACCAAACAAAATATGTTTTGCGGCGAACGAAGTGTTTGGGAAGTAATTGAACAACATCCGGATTTCACAAACAGTAATGCAAGGTCGTGAGTCGTCAGATTGTCGTAATTTAGCCACGGAGACCTAAAAAAAAAAAATTTTATTACGTGAATGCAATTGGTTTTTTAGGGCAATTCTAAAAGCAGGGAAATCTGTGAATGTACGCCCTGATTTCAAAGTCGTCGCTCCTCCAACGGAATCTTCGACGACTCCTCTTTTCATGATTTTCAACAAATGGGTGAGATTTTCCACGTTTGATTTTTTAAAAATACAAATTCAATTAATGGCTGAAAACCTCTGGAAATCCGACCGTAATATCAACAAATTTCACGCTGATCACACAGAAGCTGTAACTGCAGAAGGTTTGCTTATATAATAACGATATTCTATCTCTCCATTATTATATATTTTGAGGAACCATCAAAAGCAGATGAGTGAGGGAAAAAGAAAGAGAAACCCCATCGTTTTGTCATCATCAATTTATCAAAAATGAAACTCGAATTTTCCTGCAGGTCCGAATAGTATGTGAAGCTTCAACAAGTTTCTAGCATGAAGCAAACTGATAATTTTGAATTATATTTCAAATTTATAGTCACTTTTTCATCCATACTGGTGACTTTCTGAATTTTTTCTTCATAAGGAGAAATACATTTCTACTCTGAGGCATCACTTTACTCTCTAAATTTCTTTCTCAAGACATCTTTGTTATTCGGCATTCTTTCAAAAGGTCAAATTTTTAAAATTTCAAGATACTGTATATCAGCTTTAAAATTTCAATAAAAATGTTCTTTCCCCTAACAGAAATTTCCAACATTCTTCAAATTTTCAATTGAGAAGGAAAGCAGGAAATAACATCCATGTATTAAAATTTTATTTTTTTTTACTAAAAGCAGTGATTTAAGTACAGTAGCTATAAGTCAGCAAACATTTTACAGTTAATAACATAATAAGTGAATGTTTTGCAATTAAAAACTGTCCGAAAAAATATTCAGATTCAATCTCAGAATGAAGATGAATCAATCAAGTTTTATTCGCTTTTTCCCCGCCGAAGATTTTTCGTCCCTCAAGCCCGGCTAGCTCTGCTCCCGACGAATGGAAAGCCAGATGTCACTCCTTGTTCCATCCACTCTTCTTCCTCCAACGCTCCTCCTCGTCGTTCCACGCTGGAAATGTGAAAGGGAAAGATGGGTCAATGACACTATGGAACGGCGACGACAAGGATGATTTGCTCAGCCAATTGTTTCCCTCGAATTCGGCCATCGGCAGTTTGTGTTTTTATTCGTCACTGGACACTAACCCCGCGGGGATGGGGGAACTCTTTTCCATGGAAGGTCTCCTCAGCAGATTGGCGCAAGGAAACAATACGAGAGTTGACTTTGTGAGTAAAATTTTTAATTTCGTAAACGACAAAACAATAACAGCCTGAAATAAAATGCATCAAATCGTCGCAATGTTGATATTCACAAATATTTTTCGTTTTCTCTGATCTTATTTATTTTTCTTTTCAAGATTCCAGATGCACTGGTTCGCGCAACTCCTTTGGTTTGGATCCACGGAGTCGACTATGACATCACCGATGAAGAATTGGAGACCATAGAGAGGAATTACGTTGACCAATTTCACATCCCAGTGTACCAAGTGGTAGATGCGCCATCTAGGATCCCCAACATTGACCATGCCAGTCAATTGGAGCGCATGAGCAGAATATCTAAATACGGACAATTCCTCGTGTTCATGAGTGATGAGAGAAGACCTGGCTTGACCCAAGCGAGATTCTCTGAAGCCCTGACCACAGCTGTGTTGCCACTTCTGGCACCTTCTTCCGCAATACCATCCATGGTACCTAATATATAAGTTCTATAGTACTGTACAGGTGGACTCTCTCTCTACTGTATAACAAAATTTAAGGGACCAGAAAAAACTTGTTGTTGAGGGAGTTTTGTTGCAGAGAAGCCCTTTAAGATGAGGAGAAAACCCAATGGAACCCAAAACAATTTCTTACTCAGAAAAAAACCTGTGTGGGCAAAATTTTTTTTTGAGGGAGTTCACCTGCAAATATTATTTCTAGATCAGTGGTCAGCTGACTTTAGTTGAAGATCCCACCTTGAAACAAAGTAAAGGTGGGATCTGTCACCGTATCTGTCAAAACTTTTTTCCCCTCTCATTTCAAGGTCTATTCAAATTCGCTGAACCCAGACTTGGATGCGTTTGTATGCGATACCCAGCAGACTGTGAAGAACATAATCATCAACATCCCATCATCAACAAACAAGGATTCCTTGCTATTTTTCTCCTTCTTCGGCATTCCGTACGACAAATTCCCTCTCAAACCCGGAGAAACAATTGACATTACTTTGACATCGCCTTCGGGAGACATTTCAAAAAAGGCAACGGCAGCTTTTGGCTCTGCAGGGTTTTATTCAGCAGAAGTTTTTGTCACAGCAGAGGTTAGTTTTTTGAAGATTTGCAATCGAACGTGGTTTCAAGGTCATAGGGACTTGGATGAAATGTTTCAAAAATAGATGTATACAGATTAAATGCAGGTAAAAATTCGATACACAGATCTACCAAGATTGTAGAGGAAAATCAGTTTTCGTAACGAAATTTTCGTAACGGTTGAGAAACTGTTGGGACCGAAAAAAAAAATTCCAACAAGAAATTCCTTATAAAGAGATTGGTTGTAACGGAATTTTACTGCATGCATAAATAATGAACAGATAAATAATACTGGAGTTTATTCAAGATACTGTATTTGATACGATATCAAAACTAATCTCAGACTTTTAAGCCAGAACAAAGACTTACACTTTCTTGATTGATTGATTGATTGATTGGGTAGCAAGCTTTATTTTCTGCTTTTTGGTGTTCATAAGGTTCAAGCAATGTTCCCACATCCAAACCCCCATCCCCTCCCCACCCACATTCATCTAAACACATTCCATCACATCACAAAGGGAATTACATAAATAAGCTGTAAATATATGTATTAAAAGAGAAGAAAATGCATCCCAACATGTACAATTGCACAACTAATGTTATTCATACACTTTCTTCTCCTCTTTCTTTCTGTCTTTGCTTCTTATTCCTAAAGCACAAAGAATATTAAGTCCCATGATTCAAACGCTTGATCATATAGACTAAAAACATGTGAATGCTTTGTTGAATGAATGAATGAACAGAACACTTTATCTGCCACTTTTCAGCATTCACAAGGTTCACTCAAGATACTGTATTTGATACGATATCAAAACTAATCTCAGATGTCCAGTTGTATTTCATGTTGTATTGTATTTTCTTTTATTTTGGTTTGGCAATTCTAAAAGCAGGGAAATCTGTGAATGTACGCCCTGATTTCAAAGTCGTCGCTCCTCCAACGGAATCTTCGACGACTCCTCTTTTCATGATTTTCAACAAATGGGTGAGATTTTCCACGTTTCATTTTTAAATGCAAATTCAATTAATGGCTGAAAAGCTCTGGAAATCCGACCGTAATATCAACAAATTTCACGCTGATCACGCAGAAGCTGTAACTGCAGAAGGTTTGCTTATATAATAACGATATTCTATCTCTCCATTATTATATATTTTGAGGAACCATCAAACGCAGATGAGTGAGGGAAAAAGAAAGAGAAACCCCATCGTTTTGTCATCATCAATTTATCAAAAATGAAACTCGAATTTTCCTGCAGGTCCGAATAGTATGTAAAGCCTTAACGAGTTTCTAACATGAAGCAAACTGATAATTTTGAATAATATTTCAAATTTTTAGTCACTTTTTCATTCATACTGGTGATGGTCTGAATTTTTTCTTCATAAGGAGAAATACATTTCTACTCTGAGGCATCACTTTACTCTCTAAATTTCTTTCTCAAGACATCTTTGTTATTCGGCATTCTTTTGAAAGGTCAAATTTTTAAAATTTCAAGGTACTGTATATCAGGTTAAAAAGTTCAATAAAAATGTTCTTTCCCCGAACAAAAATTTCCAACATTCTTCAAATGTTCAACTGGGAAGGCTCAAAGCAGGAAATTACATCCATGTATTCCCAAAAAAAATGTTTGACTAAAAGGAGGGATTTAAGTAGCCATAAGTCAGCCAAAAATTTACTGTTGATATCACAATAAGTGAGTGTTTAGCAATAATTAAAAAATGTCCGAAAAAATTTCAAATTTAATCTCAATTCCGCCCTTTTACAAGGAATGAGAATCAAGATGAATCAATCAAGTTTTATTCGCTTTTTTTCCCGCCGAAGATTTTTCGTCCCTCAAGCCCGGCTAGCTCTGCTCCCGACGAATGGAAAGCCAGATGTCACTCCTTGTTCCATCCACTCTTCTTCCTCCAACGCTCCTCCTCGTCGTTCCACGCTGGAAACGTGAAAGGGAAAGATGGGTCAATGACACTATGGAACGGTGACGACAAGGATGATTTGCTCAGCCAATTGTTTCCCTCGAATTCGGCCATCGGCAGTTTGTGTTTTTATTCGTCACTGGACACTAACCCCGCGGGGATGGGGGAACGCTTTTCCATGGAAGGTCTCCTGAGCAGATTGGCGCAAGGAAACAATACGAGAGTTGACTTTGTGAGTAACATTTTTAATTTCGTAAACGACAAAACAATAACAGCCTGAAATAAAATGCATCAAATCTTCGCAATGTTATTGATAAACATATATATTTCGTTTTCTCTGATCTTTTTCTTCTCTTTTCAAGATTCCAGATGCACTGGTTCGCGCAACTCCTTTGGTTTGGATCCACGGAGTCGACTATGACATCACCGATGAAGAATTGGAGACCATAGAGAGGAATTACGTTGACCAATTTCACATCCCAGTGTACCAGGTGGTAGATGCGCCATCTAGGATCCCCAACATTGACCAAGCCAGCCAATTGGAGCGCATGAGCAGAATATCTAAATACGGACAATTCCTCGTGTTCATGGGTGATGAGAGAAGACCTGGCTTGACCCAAGCGAGATTCTCTGAAGCCCTGACCACAGCTGTGTTGCCACTTCTGGCCCCTTCTTCCGCAATACCATCAATGGTACCTAATATAGAAAAACTAGTACTGTACAGGTGGACTCTCTCTACTGTATAACAAAATTTAAGGGACCAGAAAAATATTGCCGTTGAGGGAGTTTTGTGTTAGAGAAAACCCTTTTAAGATGAGTAGAAAACCCAATGGAACCCAAAACAATTTCTTACTCAGAAAGAACCCTGTGTGGGCGGAATTGTTTTTGAGGGAGTTCACCTGCAAAAATGATTTCTAGATCAGTGGTCAGCTGACCTTAGTTGAAGATCCCACCTTGAAATAAAGTTAAAAAAAGAAACTGTCAGATCAAAACCATTACTTATAGTAAGACATTTTGTCTTGTGTATTCACGTCCACCAGAATGTTCATATTGAAGAAAGATGACTATATAACAAACTTCAAGGGACCAGAAAAAAATTGCTGTTCAGGGAGTTTTGTTGAATAGAGAAGCCCTTTAACATGAGGAGAAAACCCAATGGAACCAAAAAATTTTCTTACTCAGAAAAAACCTGTATGGGCAAAATTTTTTTTGAGGGAGTTCACCTGCAAATATTATTTCTAGATCAGTGGTCAGCTGACTTTAGTTGAAGATCCCACCTTGAAACAAAGTAAAAAAGAAACTGTCAGATCAAAACCATTACTTATAGTAAGACATTTTGTGTTGTGTATTCATGTCCACCAGCATGTTCATATCAAAGAAAGATAACTATAAAAAACACTATAACAGTGGGATCTTGGTACAAAAATGCCATGTGGGACCCTGAAAAATGTTCAATGCATCACAAACAGTATTGTTTCTGGACTAAAGTACCATTGGGACCATATGCTACAGCAGCCTTGAAATATGTGTCATAAAAATATTTTCTGTAGTACAGTTAAACTCTTAGAAGTTCTGTTTAGCCCCTTTTGAAAGGTATTCATATATTCTTAGTTCAGGAGATCTGAAGGTTAAAGATCTTGGAGTATAAAATTAAAAAATAAACCATACAATCTAGTACACATTTCTTTCTTGTCCTATGATTCCACAACATGTTAAAAATGTTTTAATGATATTCTACCAAAGCATATACTGTGCATGGATTCTTGCAATATCCTTTTTAGTCTGCCAATCACAACACCAAGATAATAAAATTTTATGAGAACAAATATTTTAAATATTTAAATTGTATAACTGAATGATTAAATTCTATCCCATCACGTTTGATGGCAGTTTGCGATGGATTCATCTATTCCAAAACTACAATTGGTTGGAATGAAATAGGTTTCAGTTGAAAATATATTTTGAAAAAATCATGTACAAGCCAAAAAATTATATTATGATAGATAATTTGGTTACAGAATCTGAAATTCAGTAAAACCAAGGCCACTTTGGTCAATGGCAGATTTGTCCATGGCATGCTTTGCTTTTCTTAGAATATCTATTGATAGAATTTTATAGATGTTTCATAAAAGTTTTTTGTATGTGATCCAACTCTGATCTTTTGGCAATGGTACAGTATCCAAAAGGTAACTGCCAACTTGTTCAATCAGTGAACTTCAAAAATCGGTATCAAATGTCCATGGTCTACCATTTTATAAATCAAATGTGCAAATCTTCTCAGAGTATAGCATAACCACAACAAAACAAATTGAAACATTGGGTCCTGCATGGAAAGCCCCTTCCTAGTAATGAATATTATATATTAATTTGAGACCAACATAATATGCTCTCTTCATTTTAGGGACATTGGCCAATGATTCAACATGAAAAGAGTTGGTTATAAGGCTATACTGTAACAAAATTTGTTGAAATCAGATTCTAATGTTTATAATTTGTTACATCAAAAGCATTGTGATTCAATACAAAACTTTTCTCATGACAAAAATTGATTACATTAGGTGACTCAAATAACCAAGGATTAATTTTGAAATAGTTGGATTGCTTTATTACTGAGATTCAGCTGCATAACAAACACTTTTCCCCTCTTATTTCAAGGTCTATTCAAATTCGCTGAACCCAGACTTGGATGCGTTCGTATGCGATACCCAGCAGACTGTGAAGAAAATAATCATCAACATTCCATCATCAACAAGCAAGGATTCCTTGCTGTTTTTCTCCTTCTTTGGCATTCCATACGACAAATTCCCTCTCAAACCCGGAGAAACAATTGACATTACTTTGACATCGCCTTCGGGAGACATTTCAAAAAAGGCAACACCAGCTTTTGGCTCTGCAGGGTTTTACTCAGCAGAAGTTTTTGTCACAGCAGAGGTTAGTTTTTTGAAGATTTGCAATCGAACGTGGTTTCAAGGTCATGGGGACTTGGATGAAATGTTTCAAAAATATATGTATGCAGAACAAATGCAGGTAAAAATTCGTTATACAGTACCAAGATTGTAGAGGAAAATAAATTTTCTTTGGAAAATCAATCTTTATAAGGAATTTCTTTGGAAAATCAAGAAATTCCTTATAAAGAGATTGGTTGTAACGGAATTTACAGCATGCATAAATAATAAACAGATAAATAATACTGGAGTTTATTTAAGATACTGTATTTGATACAATATCAAGACTAATCTCAGACTTTCAAGCCACAACAAAGATTCACTCTTTCTTGATTGATTGATTGGTCAGCAAGCTTTATTTTCTGCTTTTCAGTGTTCATAAGGTTCAAGCAATGTTCTCACATCCAAACCCCCATCCCCTCCCCACCCACATTCATCTAAACACATTCCAGCGCATCAGAAAGGGAATTAGATAAATAAGCTGTAAATATATGTATTAAAATATTTAAAAAATGCATCCCAACATGCACAATTGCACAACTAATGTTAATTCATACACTTTCTTCCACTCTTTCTTTCTGTTATTGATTCTTATTCCCAAAGCACAAAGAATGTAAAGTCCCATGATTCAAATGCTTGATCATTGACACTACAAACATGTGAATGCTTCAAAAGAATTGTTCAAAGTCCTGCTATGCAAAATGGGAGCACAGAAAAAAAATATTTCCCTATGCAAGGGTCAAAGAACTTCATTATCAATATACAGTAGAATTCTGTTACAAAAAATCTTGCTATAACAAATTTTTTTCTTGGTGCTGGCAGTTTCCTGTAGGCATAATGCTATAAAAATTTTGTTATAACAAAGTAATTTTAGGCTGTAATCTCATTATAAAAAATTTTTCCAAGATTCTGCACACAGCCCATATAGGGATTCCTCAAGAAATGGCAGAAATTGTTGAAAAAATTAAGATGCAGCATTACAACTTCATGAAAAAATCTTTATGCAAAGAAAACTTGCTATCCAAAAAAATACACTACAGGACATATTTTTAGAAATTCTTTAGCTCATCCATTTTAGAATATGCCTTTTTCAAATAAACAGTATGTTAGAAGAATTTTCCTCTATTTTAGAAAGAGCTGTGAGTGGATAAGTTGATTGAAAAGGAAATGGAGCATGTTTACCATACGTAATTTTGTTTTCATTTTTCATGACCAGCAATTCAAGTCCAGCAATTTGTACTGGATTGCAATACAAATCCAGCAATCCAGTAAAAATGCTTGTTTATTTAAGGGAGAGTGCTTTTTATGATAATGGATTTTTATACTAATAAAAATCCATTGGAGTGCTTTTTATATTAATGGTTTTATCTTCATTTCATCAGAAGTAATAACTAATTATGCTAGGTCTTGAATTCTGTGTTTTAGAAGCATTAAGGTCTTCAGCTTGTTTCTGTATGAGGTTTAGTTGAATGAACAATGCTTTGTTTAAAAGTTCTGCTATGCAAAATGGGAGCAAAGCAAAAACAATATTTTCCTATGAGAAGGTCAAAGAACTTCATGATCAATATACAGTAGAATTCCTTTACAACCAATTTCGTTATAACAAATTTTTTGTTACAGTATAAACAAAAAATTTTCTTGATGCTGGCAGTTTCCCATGGGCATATTGTTATAAAAATTGTGTTATAACAAAGTAATTTTAGGCTGTTATCATATTATTTCAAAATGTTTGCCAAGATTCTGTGCACAGCCCATATAGGGATTACTCAAGAAATGGCAGAAATTTGCAAAAAGAATTAAAAGATGCAGCATTACAACTTCATAAAAAAATTGTTATGCAAAGAAAACTTGCTATCCAAAAAAATACACAACAGGACATATTTTTTGAAATTCTTTAGCTCATCCATTTTAGAATATGCCCTTTTCAAATAAACAGTATGTTAGAAGAATGTTCCTCTATTTTAGAAAGAGCCATGAGTGGATAAGTTGATTGAAAAGGAAATGGGCATGTTTACCATATGTAATTTTGTTTTCATTTTTCATGACCAGCAATTCAAATCCAGCAATTTGTACTGGATTGCAATACAAATCCAGCAATCCAGTACAAATGATTGCTTATTTGAAGGAGAGTGCTTTAATACTATTACCTAAAAATATGATTATTTTTAGGTAACCTCACGAAAAATATAATTACCAAAATAGAAGTAAAGTAGTCTTCATTATTGATTAATACGATCCAGAACTTAAGACACAAAATCTTCGTATTCGAAGTATGTATTCCCCATTTCCAACAATATTGCAGTCTGAAATGTGCTAAAAATCATAAATCTTGATACAGCAAATTTTTTGTCATAACGAATTTTTTCTCAGGTCTCCAGGAGTTTGTTGTAACAAGATTTTACTGTATCTGCTTCTATACAGGAATCTGGCACTTGGAACATCTCCACAACATGCGTTTGGCCTCAAATCAAAGCTGTTCCTTTGTACATTTCTATCTACTTTCTCGGAGACAACAATAATCCGGAACCGGATTTCATTCGGACTCTTCTTCCCCCGACGCTACTCAAATCATCTTTCCCATCAACAAATGCAGTTGACACGGGATTCGCACATCCGCCAGTTGTGCAAATTATGGCTCAACGCGGAGGAAAACCGATCGTTGGCTTGGATGTGAAGGCAAAAATTCAGGGCAGCACCGGAACAACTGAGAAGAATTTGCATGATTCCGGCGTCGGAAGTAAGATATTTTTTCGATTATTTCAAATGAACTAGAAAAATAGGTGTTCCCCAAAAAATCAGTGATCGAGGTGCCATTTTGCGTTTTTATTTTCTTTCTATACCGTTTTTTGGGTTCTCAACTTCTCACCAATCATAAGAATTTTTTTTAGCATACATGAGAGTTAGAATGTTGAAAGACCAATAGCTGGAGTCCGACACTTTCACATTATACGATAAAACCTTCAGTCACCATTTGAAATAAAAAACACCTTAGAACTAGACTTCTTAAAACTTGTTTTTTTGATCGACGTTAAAAATCCTTCAAAAGGTCTACCTGGAAGGAAAAATATAAAGAATACAAAATTCTTTAATATAAAGTACAAAATTTCCAAAGATTCACAAATAATCTTGGGAAAACCATAAGATTGAGTGTGAAAGAAAAACAAAAAACGTACATATGCAGAGCTACTTTGGGACTGCCTCAGATTGTCCCTGTCTCTAAATTTCCATGTCTCAAATTGTCCATGTCTCAAATTGTCCATGTCTCAAATTGTCCATGTCTCAAATTGTCCATGTCTCAAATTGTCCCTGTCGTAAATTTTCTGTCTAAATTTGTCAAGTCTCACATTGTCTGTCTTCATTTGTTCATATCCCTTTCCATATTACTTCAACCAGAAATTACAATTGATTGTTTTCTCACTGTGAATCAATGGCCAAATTGAGGTAGTAATGTAAATTGCTATACACAAACCTGAACCCGTTTCGTAAATTCAGGCAACCCTCAGATAGGAACTAAATTGGTACCAGACAAAGTGTGTTAACTGAAAATTGTGTTTTAAAAATTACATTTTCCCAAAAACTTCAATAGTGAAGAAATTAATTTTATCCTTGTATGAAAAATGGAAGTGAAATTTTTAACAGATGTATGATCTCTTAGCTGAATGTGCTTCCTGGATTTATTTTTACAATTTATGAGCAGAAGCTATTTATTTTCTTATAAAGGCAGAAAAAAACAGAAAATCAGATCAGTTTTGGCAAGAATAATTTTGTCAGAGTGACTCAGGATCACAGTTAGGTCATAACCCAAAGTACGGATGGGCAAGAAAATACACAACAAGAAATCTATTCAATCATCACCATATCAGCAAAAGCAATTGAAAAACAAAATAACATACTCATGTTGAGGGGCCAAGAGTTAGGTTAGGTCAGTTAGGTTAAAGTTAGGTTAGGTCAGGTTATGTTAATTAAAATATATTTGTAACTAACATAACCTGACCTAACCTAACTTTACCTAACTTTACAAATATATTTTAATTAACATAACCTGACCTAACCTAACTTTAACCTAACTGACCTAACCTAACTCTTGGCCCCTCAACATGAGTATGTTATTTTGTTTTTCAATTGCTTTTGCTGATATGGTGCAGTACTTTGCTCCATCATAAATAAATTCAAGTCAAACTTGACTCAAACCTCCCCAAGTCAAAACCCCGCATATTTCAAATGCTGTTGGCCCTTTCAGAATCTCCTCAAGAACAAAACATAATGAACCTCCCTAACTCAAAGACTTTCACCCTCAAAGCGCCATAACTCAAATTCCTGGGGGCCTTTGGGTATTATTCTGGTTATTTACGAAAGACAAACAATAAAAGTGTGACTTTATGCTGTTCAAAAGGAAGTGATTGATCATCATTTGGCAAATTAACCCTGTTCAGCATCCTGCCAACTTCTTTATTCTGAATTTTGAAAGGATTGCAAATCACAGTTTATGTAATTTTTCAGCTTATCCTCTATTCACCAAAAATACTGTTTCCCAACTCAAAACCACGTCAAGCCAAATTTGTTGCTATAGTATCATTAGAGGTTTAATTGTAACAAGCTGTCGCAAGAAAAACGGTGGTAATTAACGCTTTTCATCGTTAATTATCCCGTTAAACCACCAAAGTGTACGACGTAACCGGAGGAGACGGGATTTATTCTGGGGCATTGGACATCAGGAAACCCGGGTTCTACCACACCAGCTTCATCATCACTTCCGCAGAGACCCAAGAAAACGTGCCACCAGATACTCCTTCAAGCGGTGAGGAGAAAAAGGATAGAAGTGATTTCCAAACATAAGCCCAAGATGTCGCTCCTAATTTTCCCCTTTTCTAAACCAGCCATTGATGACAAATGCTGCGGCAGTATTTACCCACAAGGTTCAGCCGTAGGACCTGCGTCGAACTGGACACGAATTCTAATGGGACCCAGTTTTGTGGTTGGGAACGACTTGGGGGCATTTCCTCCGGAAAAAGTGACCGACTTGGCCTTTTCAATCGATCCCAATGACAACAGCGCAATTTTCATCTCTTGGTCTATGATTGACCGGGATGCCGAGATGACTTCGATTCGGGATTCTGCAGGTTAGTTACTTTTGAAAATCGGAGGAAGAAAAAAAAAACACCTGAACACAAAACTTGGCGAATGACGACGGAATTTCTGAAAATCCATCACATGTTAGTACAGTAATTGGTCAGGTTCGATTCTTTTTTTGCTTGATTCATTAGATCGAATTTTGGTGGGTTAAAGTAAATCGGACGAATTTAATTGAGCGTATTAATGGGGGGGAATCATGGAAAACAGTCATTTAGACACGATAAAATCGGGCCCCAGCAGCAAATACTCTCCAATATTCGAAAAGTTTGACTGAAAGCCAGTTTAAACTGAAAAAAAAAACCTGCCACAAAATCTGGACAGCGTCTCAACTCTCAAGAAATGGACACTTCACCAATATTTCCAGAAAAATTACATACCAGCATGTTGATACCTCGACCAAACTGAGCAATTGTCATAGACAAAAATTCAAAATGAAGTTCCTTGTGATGTATCAAAAAGTATTTTTTTAAGGAAGCCCAATTTTGTGTTGAGTGTAGCAATATGTGTTCTGATAGTGTGCATATTGTTAGCCTTATTGGCTGCTTTTCTTGCCAAATGGATAGGTTCTGTGAGGTTTTTGCACTGTCCTTTTTTAGTACAGTATCTGCAGTTATTTTATGAGTTTTAAAGTTAGGGGTGAAATTTAGCATTGCATTTTCGGAAGACTGCTTCCAAGTTTTTCCCAACATGAGATATGATTAGAATTATGTCCCATTCAAACTTTGCCAAATGTGATCCAACAGACAGATGGTCAAATTCATTGACACATTCTAAAAAGCAAATATGAGTTGACCACAACCTCAGCTTGACCCATTTGTATTTCTTTATATATGGATTTTTACCACAACCATTTTCACTCTTGTTGTCGCAAAAAAAATATCATCCATAATGTCCATGCAATCATTTTCTCTTTTTTTTAAAGAATGTATCTCTTTAATTAAAATTGTATCCTTTTTGACAGTTCAATTTCTTGCTGGCTTCTTTTTTTGCGCCGATCAGTTTGAAAACTATACTGAAGAAATGCTAAGAAATTGTCTTATTTTCAAAGAGTTCTTGAATAATTTGTTCTCTATTTGCCCGCTGATTTATAGGGAGAATTGAAAAAAATGCTTCAAATCTCCACACAAAAATAACAGAAGAAGGGAAGCTTTGCCTTATTCTACAGAACTATGCCAGGAAGTTTACTAATTACCAATTTTGGGTTAATAGCATTTTCATGTGTTAAACCCCCAACTAAAGAACGGAGGAATTGCATTTTCCTCATCTCTGTTCAAAACAAAAGGTTGAGGGGTACTTTCCTGCTATCTCTGTACCTACTTTCCTGTTAACTCTGTACCATACCTCTGACCAATTAAACCTGACCTAACCTAACTTCACCTAACCACCTCCCAAAATCAGTTTCTGCTTTCTTTGGGTTTCTGCTTACTGCCTCCCAAAATCAGTTTCAGCAGAATGCAGAAAAATAAAATTCACAATTTCTGGTAGGTTGTTGTGATTATGAAGTTGTCCTAAAGATTTGTCTGGATGGTAGTGCGGTCTAGGAATGAGATACAGAGATAACAGGAAAGTACAGGTTGAGGATATACAAATACAGAGCAGGCCAAAAAGTGAACAAATTTTTGGATGAAAAACAGCTTGGTAGCAAGTCCACATGTAGCACTGGAAAAACCCAAGGAAAGCTTGTATAATTTGATTTCAAATAATAAGTGGTTGTATTGTCCCAAGGGCCACGGAATGGTCACAAAAGCCACTTGAATGAAAACTTTCCACGCAGAAAAAAAAAGTTGTCAGGCAACTCCTTCCACTGAGCTCATGTTCTCCAGAGATGTTTTTAGGATTCAATGGGGTCAAGGACCAGTAATTTAACCAGCAAACTTCCCACTGCCTTTAAGAGGAAGCACACATTCCCAAAATTTAAAATGAGGGGGGGGGGTCCAAATTCAGTTTTCTTTATCCACCCTTTAATATTTCCACACCAGCCATGTTTCTACCATCGATTTTTTTCATCCGTTCGGAATTTGCTTCAAATGATATTCAGTTTCCCTCACCAGTATTGCATCTGTTCTGGAACTTTTGCCATTACATATACGGTGAAGTTGCAGACTTTTTTGATGGAGATTCTTCACAAATATTGAGTCAAGATGCAATGGAACGATGCGTTACATGGACCAGTGTTCCACAATGCATGATCTGGAGTAGTCCGTAGACTTTTTTTGCCAGTCCACTGAAAATTTTCAGCATTATACATTTCTTAAAAGTAGCAATCAACTCTGTTATCATTATCTAAAACTTTGGAACAACAATGGTACTTGAAATCTTTTCAAGAAAAATAAAAGTTGGTTTTTTTCCCAATAACACTTCAGACAAATGGTCAACTGATGAAATGAATTATTTTTATTTTTCATTCTGATAATTTTTTGATCAAGCCCACCTTTCTAGGTTTTTGATGACATTCAGCTATAGCTGCTTCACAGGTGCTTAAATTGATTATTGCAAGAATCAGAAACTTTGATGTAACTGCCATAATTTTGTCTATCAAGCAAAATTTTTTCAAGTCTGTAAAAATGTTATGAAACTTTGCTGGTCAGCAGAATTTTTTTCAATTTTACAGTCTGCAAATAATTTTATTGAAATTTGTGGACCCAAAAAGTTTGGGAAACACTGACATAGACCATTCAGACACTATTCACTGGATGGAAAAATACACGAACAACGCACGTAGCTTATGTATGTGACCAAGAGCACAATTCACGGTAGGAATACCACAGAACACGTGCAGATTTTTGCTCTAGTGTATCACTTGGGCTATTATACGAGGGCTGTCCCACGTTGAACGCAGCCTATGATATTTCTAGAATAAGTCTGATCGCAAAAAAATAAAATAAAAAATTGACATAGCTCATGATTTTCTCATTTACCGGGGTTTTTTCCTGATTTTTAAAACAAATTTTAATTTAACGCATGACAAAAAGTGAAACCTTTCCAGGTACCGCCAGACTTCTCCATCCATGCTGTCACAGAGGCGTGCTAAAAATGTGCCAGGCCAGCTAAAAATAAATTGAAATTTCTCTGTTGTTTCAACAACTATCGAAAATGTAGAAGAGATATTGGTTACACAACAACATTTCACTCTTTTAGATGGCCTGAAAAATTTCAAACACCCAGCTGCAACATTACCTGTAGAGAATCCTGGTTGTAACTGAGAATTTTTCACTCATCATGCATTAAATTGAAAATTATACCTAAAAATCCAAGAAAAATCCCAGAACCTTCAAACACCATGCGCTACGTCGTGTTTTTTTTTTTACGATCAGACTTCTTTCAGAAATGGAAGCGGTCGCGTTCAACTGGGACAACCCTCGTATATTTGTCGCTTTCAAAAGAAAACTGCAATTTAAACATACAATATGTCCCTCGTATGATTTCTTTGCAGGCTCTGATTCGACTTGCGTGGAGATCAGAACCAGCACCTGCAAAGAAGGCGTCGTAGAGGACTTTAAGTCGTCACCCAGCATAGAAAACTCTTATCACGTGTTTTGTTCGTGTAACGATCGCAGCACTTACACATCAGCGTGCAACCGAGTCCTATGTTCGACCACACCAAGAAACAAAATGGGTATTATTAAAGCTGACAATGATGATAGACTGAAAATCAGATGCCAACTCACCAGAAAAATGGATGCTGACGATGATGATGCCGATGATAAGAAACCCGCGTATGTCACTTTGAGAATTAAATCACGAACCGACGGCTCTTACGTTTCCGATGTGAGCAACTTGGTAGTGGTCTATGATCCCGAAGCTATGGTTCACTTTGAGGCCACAAATGATGAGAATGTTTGCACTGAGACCACTGTCAAAAAGCCACTGATGTCGAAGGAGGAACAAAAAATCGAGGATCTGAAACGAGAAATTCGTTTGTTGTACATGTTCGGAGGAACGGCGATAGGAGCTCTCTTACTTCTGGTGGTGGTTCTCAGCATTTGTCTCGCGTTTCCGGGCAAATTCAAACCAGGATGTTCGGAAACTAGACACCATCACACGATCGCAACTTCAACCTTAGCACAGAATCATCATCAAGCAGAGCCCGTCGGTATCAGTCAGCCATTTTCTTCCTGGCGAGCGGGAAGCATGATTATTAATAATCAACGGCGACCAACTGATTTCCATCAACACATTACGACTTCGGGTCTCACCAACCGAGCTTTCACGAACGAATCTGACATCAGAGGAGAGATTTCGGATGATTTCACGGATGACGAAGAAGTGATTGCAGACACTACTCAACACAGATCATCGCAGCCGATAGAAGCTTTCAATAGATTCAACTACACGAACGGCTCTTACAATATTTCTCAAGTAATAGACCACAGATCACCATCAGCAGTATCATCATCACGGAGTCCCGTACCTCCTCCACTACCTCCTCGGCAATTCACAAATCTCAACCGCACATCAAGCACTTGGTCCGATAGACACCCTTTGAGGAATTTGATACCTCTCCGGAACTTCGAGTCCAGTAATCCTTACCCTGGGGGTCACTGGGATATTCAACAAGAACAAATCTGATCTCTTTTATACAGTTGAGTACCTCATTAATAACTCGAACCTCCCTATATAAGTGAAATACCTCCGAAGTCCGAATGTTTTTCAAGTCCCTGTCTTATAATCCCTTTCGAAAGATTGCATTAAAAACTTCATCATACGGTAACTCCAAAAGGCTTTCCCTTGGCAAGCTTCCCTATCTCGAATTTTCGGGAGGACTTTCTATAGCTAATAATTTTCTAACACAACAAAGAGACAGCAAAAATGAATGTAATTTGATGCATTTTGAAAGAAAGTGGAAGACTAATTTAAAAATACACCCTTGCCTCGAAGTTCCGCATCCTGTCACCTCATTCAACACAAAGACAAGAATATCACCAGCAATTACAATTTCGTGGGATACTTCTTTCTTTCCCCCAACCAAAAATGCTCTTTTCCCTACCTTGAAACCTTTGTAACTATGGATTTTTTGCACATCCCTTATTGAAGTCTGACTTATTAAAAAGAGGTTCAACTGTATCATCTACTCCTGCGGAAATTTATTCGGGAGTTATATTAATCAGTATTAACACATTGTCTTGGATAATAAACAGATTCCAGCATCAAAATAGTATCTTTAGAGTATTATTCAGACGAATTTATTTTATCTTACATAATAAAGTTGCTTGCAACGTCGGTCGGTACATCCGTTGACCACTCCATCCCTCCTAACTTTTCCCCTTACCTCCCTCCCACAGAGCCCCCAGAGAGGCCTGCAGGAGGGTCCCGTTTCCCGTTTTGCCGACTTTAAAAATTTGTTAAAAATTGAATTCTTCATGAAAATTACTTTTTAAAACTTCATGAGAAGCGTCATGATGTTCATCTTTTCCTTTTTTTAATTTTGAAAAACATTGAATATTGACTGAATTATGATGAAAAACGCGGAAACATTTTTTCAAAACGATACGAAAATTGTGAAAAACCATTTTAGTTTCTTAATTTTAACTTAGGTTATTTTTTGCTTTTTGAAAACGTGGTTTTTTAGANTTAATTTTTTAATCTACTAAATTTTTTTTGCTTTTTTCTTACTTGAAAAACGTGGTTTTTTAGATTAATTTTTTAATCTACTATAATTATTCAATGCCTCATTTGTGTCCTGGAATTTCAAAAAATGAAATTAATCCGTGACCTTATATTTTCAAACAAAAGGACCTCTCCAAGATTTTTATAATTGTAAAATACGGTACTGGCCGAAGTTCCATAGACTTCCCATAGGTTTCCAAAATTGTATACAGCATTTTTTTTATATTTTGCACATGCATCTGGATTTTTCCACACAGGTTTTGGTGCAGTTGACAAGACACATGCAACACGTTTTGCTGGTTTCAGGGTTTCAAACTGCGACTATTGATTGAGTTTTGGATACGAAATTCATTTAAAAAGTAGGACCTGTTGAGTTTTCATCATCATTGAAACATCTTCGGAGAATAGATTTTCAATGCACAGTGAGCAAAAAAAGCAGGAAATTGTGTACCCGCTGTAAAAGAAATTTCCCTCTCCAGAACTACTGTTGGGCTCAGAAAAACTCTCCAGGAATATTGATTGGGATTTCTCAATAGAAAAAAGAGGTCAAATGGATTCAAACTGGTTCAATTTTTTCCGACATTAGTTACAGGAAGAATTCCGCGCTTGCTTTTTTTAGTTTCGAATTTTAGGGGTTTGTGCACATTGAGCTAAAGTTATGAACAAAATAAAAACTTTTTCCCGGAAATAAACTGCATCGAACTTTATGAACAGTTGAAGATACTGTAACAAGAAAATACAAACTCGAAGTTTTGTCTTAACTCATGAACATGTACCATATGATGAGGAAAAATACCATCACAAAACAGTTCTCAATTGACAGTTGAGAAGCTTAGAAAAATACGGCAGTGCTTGCATTAAAAACAATACTGTACAAGAAATTAATAATTAAAAATGTTCATCTTCCTGCTTCCTCACAAAATTTCACAAGACTAGCTGCTGCTGAAGTTTGATTGTTTTACTAAATAGACGATAGAAACTTTTTTCTTCCTTCATGTGCGGGGCTAAAAATGTATTTAAAATGTATTAAATTATTTAAAACTTCCGAATTGCGGAGAATTGGAAAAATTGAGAAAGAATTTCATCGACCTTTCTGCGTGCAACAAGGATACATTTTGTCTGACTTGAAAATACTCAGTCGATCTTCGTCGATATGAAGTGGGTTATAATAAAAACTGTGCCTCTAATCCATCAATAAAATGTTAAATTTTAATTCCTTCGCCTTATTGCCGTCAGACTATCCTTTAACCTACACTTTCAGTGTCATACACAATATAATTTCTACATGTTACAGTACTTTCATATACTGTAATTTATTTTTCCACAGATGACCTTCTGGATTCGTTCGACATAAAAGCAAGTCAAGACAGGGATCTGCTGCAGAACGATTTTGCCGGAAGCGAATCCATCATTTGCGTGAATCCAGAAATAATAACGCAATTCAATAAGGAACATAAGCCGAAAAGGTTCTTCTGCGAAGCGAGACCTTCTTCAGACTGCTACATTGCCATTCGTCTCAAAGGGATCAACGAACCAAATGCCATCAGCAACATCGTGAAATTTGTCAATCCGAAAAATTTCTACAAACCTCAGCCAAGTGACGACGACAAAGATTCGCGTGGAGCACTTGACCACGATTTGATGCTTTCTTACATAATCTTCGGGTCAGTCACACTCATCTTGCTAATAACCGTCATCGTCTTGGTAGTACTTCTAATTTTCACGAGACGGAAACTTGTGGAGGCCTACAGGAGTCAGCTTCCGCGATACGGACATCAAATGCCATCATCATCACCAGCAGAAACTACGCCGAATGCCGGTTATAATAAGGCTTCCAAGCTTATCGGAGAAACACCATTACGATTCACAAGCAACTCAGCTAGTCAATCACCAGTTAGTCACTCGATTGCATCAGGAACCACGAGAAATGAAGCAATTTACGATTCTCCTTGGGCGATGGGATCATTCCAGGCCACGAATTCAGGTAGTATCGATTCGTCGCACGCAGTAACATCACCAGCATCAACCAATGCTGCGGAAACGTTGGCGCCAATTGGAGGCACCAGTCGTGCGGAACACTTACAGTTTGCTGGTATCAATGTAGATAGACGACGGCGACGCCAAGGTGATATTTCAAAAAATGAGGCAATACTTCCTCCGAAAATTGGCGAAATTGGTTCCACCAATCGTGGCTTCGATTTTGATGATTTAGATGAAGGAGTGTGGTCAACTCAAGAAGTAAGCATCAGTAAACCCTGCGAAGCTGTGAACTCGGTGGCTTTTGACTATTCCAAGAAAGTATTTCCTGCCATCAGCCAACAACATACAAATAACAAAATGAAGATTTCCTATGTTTGAATGCATTTGTATATGCTAAATGATTCCTCATCATAATGCCTCTCAGGAGTTCATCAGCAAATATAGCTTTTGAATGATATTACAATGATTCTGCGGGCGATGTGATCTGCTGGTTGCTGTGTGGTGGACGTTTTACGTCGTACAATAAATTCGTATCATTCCAGATGTGTGTGTATAATTAATTTCTCGGCATCATGTGATCAAATCATAAAAAATATACAATGAAGTAGGACCCTTGATGGATAACAAGCTCTTGTCCTTCAGAAAAATCCCTCAGTTGACAGCACTTACAGCAGACAAAACTCAGTTCACAAACTTTTGGACTCTAATTTCAGAAGAGGTATGGAATTCCTAGTCTATAGGATGTCTATCTCGGACCCAGAGCTGGATGTTCGTCTGTGGGGTGTAAATTGCCGAGGAGGTAGTGGACGATGTGAGGGACGATTGTTGATTGGCAATCCACCTTCTTCCCTGGGCATCATCCCCCTCAAAAAGGGTTACCATAAAATCTCTGTGACGTTGAAACTGATGATCTGTGATTTATCACTTGAGAAATACTGTACTGCATGTGAGAGCCATTCATTGTGTAATTGAATCTATAGTGAACGGCTGCGATAATGATGATGGTCTGTGTTGCGTGTATATAGTGTCAGATGGTCACTCATATTCTTTGTCATCCGTGAAATCATCCGAAATATCTCCTCTGATGTCAGATGGATTTGTTCGTGAAAGCTTGGTTCGTGAGACCTGATGTTGTGCTGTGATGATGGAAATCAGTGGTTCGACGTTGATTAAGAATAATCGTGCTTCCTGTTTGCCATGAAGAAAGTGACTGACTGATGATAATGATGGGCTCATGATGTATGCTGATGCTTGATGATGACTTTGATGTGCTATATGGATGAAGTTTTGATGGTGTCTATGTATCTTCCGCGAACATCCTCGCTGGTTTGAATTTGCCCGGAAACGCGAGACAAATGTTTACATATCGCCGTGCCTCCGAACATGTACAACAAATGAATCTCTCGTTTAAGATCCTCGATTTTCTGTGCCTCCTTGGACAGTCCTGGTCTATACCGATAGTGGTCTCAGTAGTGAAAACATTCTTATCGTCAATCGTGTTGTCAAAGAAAAGGAACCGTAGCCTCGTCGGTTTCATAGACCAGCAGCAGTACTGTACGATTACGTTGCTCACGTTGGAAACGTACGTAAGAGTCATCGCGGTTCTTGACTTCGTTCGCAAAGCGACTTGTGTATACGCGGGTTTATTATTAACATGGGTGTCATCTTCAGCGTCAATTCTTCTGATGGTGAGTTACTGGGGCATCTGACGATTTACCGTCTATCATTATTATCGGCTTTAATAATACCTGCTTGGTTTCCTGGCGTTGTCGAACATTTAGGACAAGCGGGTTGCAGCACATTATTGGTGTATATAAATACTTTGATTGTTAAACCGATAGAACACATGAAAAGAGATTATGGGTGACGACTTAAAGTCCTCTACGACGTCTTCTTTGAAGGTGCTGATTGTTCTGATCTCCACGCAAGTCAAATCAGCGCCTGCAAAGAAATCATACGTGGGATATATACAGTATATATTGTAGATTTAAACTGGATTGGTTTTTCTTCTAATATGCAATATCTCTTGTGTCGAGGGTTGTCGCAGTTGAATGCGACCTATACTAAGGTCTTTCCGCACTGTATAACACTATGTTGATCTATAGGATGGTGGGCTCTGACAAGCATTCCGCAAGTTTGCCAAAAGAACTGAGACAAATAAGGCACTGGTTACATATCAGTGGTACTTTGGATCAAACGCTTGCAGTTGGAACAACTATATTTTACATTGTACACAAAAATACTGTCTGGCTTATTTAGAGCTCTTCTCCAGTTGGGCGCTGACAACAGAATAAGGCATAGAGTAGCAGTTGCACAAGATGGCTTCACAGAAATCCTGCTGATGCGCTGGTGCTTGGTATTGCATCAGCTGGTATGCAACCGGCTGTCTGCGTCTATTTGGGTTGGAACACTTGGGGTAACGAGGGTTCTAACAAAAGTTCTCGGAATGGAAATGAAAATGGCGTCTAATTGAGCTGAAAAAATATATTCTTCAGGAAAAACATTCTTTGGCACACAAAAAGAAATCAGCCCTGTTTGACAATTTCTTTTAATATTTTGCAAAATTCATTCTGGCAGAGTTTGCACAATTCACCCTGACAGAAAAAACTGCAGGAAGGGCGCCTCATCTTCTGAGTGGATAGCAAAACTCTGACATGGTTAATTTTTCAATAAAAATAATTGTCAAACAGGGCTGATTTTTTGTGTGCCAAAGAATATGTTTTCCCTAAAGAATAATTTTTTTCAGCTCAATTAGACGCCATTTTCATTTCCATTCTGAGAACTTTTGTTAGAACCCTTGTATAATCATTTTCTGGTTTGTATATATTTTGTAAATCATCACAATTATGTTTCAGGTTTCACCAGTTTGTCAAATTTTCAACATATTTTAAGCACATTACATGCTGATGAAATAAAACTCTAGGATGAAAGCAAAATTGAAGCATTTATTTTGCAGAGTGTTACATTTTTTTAAGAAGTCCTTTGCCAAAAAGATTTTATTAATGATCAAAACAGCTATACTCCATCACTGTTGCACCTTATTGGAATGTTATGAAAATGTGTTGTTTCAGCTTTGTGCAGAATTATCAGAAGTCCTGAGAAATTTCTGGAAAAGAATACTATAAATTGGAATAATTTCCTTGGGGCAAACATTTTTTATTGAAAGTAATTACTCCTATACAGTTGAACCTCTCAATATAAGTTGAATTTCAAGGGACCAGCAAAAAATTAGACTTGGAGAGGTTTGAGCTACAAAACAAAGCCCTTTTGTTCTGCCTGGAAACATAGAAGAATTGCCCAAAATTGGAAATGGTGATATTCTAGAGCTTAAATTGCTTCTTAAATGAGTGAAAAGGAGGCTGAAGTTGGAGGCAAGGGTTCATTTGCCCAATCAAGTACTGTGTAGCTAGTATTTCACTTCCTTTAAAAACACATCAATTTCTGTTTTTATTGTTTTTTGTTCTTGTACTAAGAAAATAATAGCCAACAATAAAGGCACAGAAAATTTAACTTATGGAGGTTTGAAAGGGGAAAACCTTTGACTTAGGGAAATTTTTAATTTATTTTTTCATAGGGGATTCAGATGGGAACCTGAAAAAAATGACTTATGGAGGTTCAATTGAGTTTCCAGCATGCAAGGTTCAACGGTACAAATATATATGTACTGTAAATATATTTATCACACTGCCAATGAAATTCAAAAAATTGCCTTGACAGTGACGTTTTCATTCATCAGCAGCATGGGATGTGCTGGATATAACCTTTTCTAATTCTGCAAAAATTGAGAGAATGGTAGAAGCATCATTAGTTGTCATGTACAGAACAATTGAAATTAACTTCCCAATTAAAGAGTGCTTTGAAAATATGTGAGGCGCTGAACAATAAAAAAAAAACTTGCTCTATTCTTTTCAAACAGCAAACTTTTCGTGGAACACTATAGCCGCACTATTTTTAAAATGACTCATTTTAGGCGGGCTTGGCGTGAGCTGGATTTAACTATACAGTACTGTACATGAGTACAGTATACAGTACATTGAACTTACCCATGCTGGTTCTCCCCCGTTGCTACTGAATGGCTTCAGTTTGGGGAATGCCGCATGATCTCTGCCACTCAGGAGGGGGAAGATCACATGATGGTGAGCTCGTCCACGAACTCCTCAATTTAGACCAGCAGCAACTCCGTCTCAGACAGACGCATGCGTGTTGCCTGCAGACAGGCGCATGCGTGTTTTCCCGGGTGGCTGACCAGCCCTCGTAGTCTGAACAAAGCCCTTCTGACATTGCGCTGCATGCGTTCACTGTGAGCTGTGCACGTTTCTTCAAATTGTGCCAATAAATGTGACTCCTGTGCCAAAACCTGGTCTGGAGATCTTGAAATTCGTGGTGCACGGGCAGTTGAGGTCCTAGTATGCTTTCCGGTCGTTGGCGGTTAGGTTGCTTCGGAGAATTATATCAGGTTTTCCGGAAGCATGTGACGTGTTCGTTTCTGTTTACGTGACTGGTGTCCCGTTTTGAGCATGAAAGCGGTTCTTAACAAATCTCTTTTTGTGTGTATGGACTTCACTGTGGTTTCTTGGTGATTGCATTTACTTTTGCGGAAGATCGCTTAAGCTTATGGGTTCTCTGCTGCATTGCTTGCGAAATCATGAGGTAAAAGGATGATCTGGGAGATTAGAATTCGTTCAGGCAATTCGTGTTCAGTGAATTGATAGAACTGGTTTTATACGGGTTGATGTGATCTATTGCTTGAGAGGATATCCTGCATGATTGAGTCAACGTCTATACCCGGTTTGATTTGATATCCAGCTTATTATCATCTGATCTGGAGATCAATGAAGGATGATGGTTGCCCCATTGCTGGGCTACTCAAGAAGAACCGATAACGTGTACGGTATACGTGTTTGACGAGCATTAACATCGAAATTCCTTTTTAAATTCGTTTGATTAGCAGCCGTAGGCATTCGTGGAGAGACGCATGTATACCCACGGCGCATGCTCAATAGGACTAGCCTCAGTGCTTGTTTCCGCCCTTTCCCATTTTCCCCACTTATATGCCTCTGTCTCTTTCTGTGTTGCTATGCCCAACAGTCGTTCCATGTTATCCACGAAATATCGAATTTTTTGTTGGTGTTCCAGTGTGTGCCGGATGCTAGAAGTGTACTGTATATAGTATTTGTAGGATGATGTCTCCGAGTTCCTCGTTGGGGAGCGTTCAGGATTTATTTGTCGTCAGGGTTGTTTTCGTCTGTGGCTGTCGACCAAGAAGGTAGTGCTGATACGGTACCTTGAACGATTTTCGAACTTCAGAATCAATTCTGAATCTCCGATTACTCAGAACCAGCAGCACTTAATTCGTTTGTTTACTCGAATAAATCATAGACTACATGAAAATTTTCGGTAGAAGCTCTGACTCTGAGCAAGTCAAAGTTTTTCAAAAATCTGTGGAAGTGCAAAACGGGTGCTTTGAACTGTCGAGACTATGCTGGCATCTTGTTTCGTTTATTTGTGTCGAAATGCTCGTCGGTTTTAGTGCCTAAGGTTGCTGGTCCCTAAGGTTGCTGATCCAACGGTCTCTTCTTTTCAGACTCGCTTTCTGCCGTGTCTTTGTGAGATTTTTTATCCGTGACTGTATTAATCAAAAAGTGTAATTCAAAATGACTACTTATTTCAACTATCCGCCACCTGAGATCCAGGCCGAGCTGAAGCAGATCGCCGAAGCTATTGTTGCACCTGGCAAGGGTATTTTGGCCGCCGATGAGTCCACCGCCACTTGCGGAAAGAGATTCTCTGGCATTGGAGTGGAAAACACCGAAGAGAACCGTCGCCTTTACCGTCAGGTTTGTTGCATAATTGCTGCTTTGCCATGTGGAGAACCTTTATTTATATTGAAATCCTGGTTCGTTTCTGTTAGCTGCTGTTCACGGCCGATGATGCAGTGACGCAGAACATCAGTGGTGTCATCCTGTATCACGAAACACTGTACCAGAAGACTGACGATGGAACTCCGTTCGTGGAAGTGTTGAAGAAGAAGAACATTATTCCCGGCATCAAGGTTGATAAGGGTGTTGTGCCGCTGCTCGGCTCTGAGGACGAGTGTACGACTCAAGGTTTGTTGAGAAAAAGAGTCGTTGCTTTTAGGGGTATACTTATAATCGTGATTTTATCGCTTTCTGCATCTTTCTACTGGTTCAGGAATGGATCAGTGAAATTTCACTTTTTTCTTGAATGCTGTATATAATTTTGTAGATGCCTATGTATTAATACATGCAAATGGGGTTGATGAATCGATTTTTTTTTAATTGAAATTCGGCCTCTGATTATTTGTTGAATGAAGTTTGAAGCGTATAGTTGGTGAAGTTTAATGAAGATATAGTCACACCGAAAGTTTCTTTAAAACTTTTAACGCGTGACTCGCCAAAAGCTCTATTCTCTCTTTATGGCGACTGAAAAAAGATTGTTTTGATCGCGTACTTCGGCTTTTCTTCTGTCTTCGGATTTTTCTGTTTTTGAAAGATGGTTTAGTTTTCAGCAAACTTAATTAAAAATTGCCCCATCTGTCCCTGATTGGATATTGTAGTGTTGGAAGTAAAATTTTATGAAATGTGTTATACAGTACCGTGTTTCTTTAGTCGAGATTCTTGTGGTACAGTAGAATATCTCTACAACAAAATCATTGGGACCAGTAAAATAGCTTCTTTGTAACGAGATTCTACTGTATTTCCAAAGGGCTGATGTAGGTTTTTCTGGAATTACCTTATCTTCGTAAAGTTATTTGTGCCGGGAATCCCTTTTTTGCGCTAAGAAGTATACGCAGTATAGGTTTATTCGCTGTGCGTTTTTCTTTTGCCAGGTCTGGATGACTTGCAGCAGCGTTGCGCCCAGTACAAGAAGGATGGTTGTCAATTTGCGAAGTGGCGTTGTGTGTTGAAGATCTCCAAGAACACCCCGTCGTATCAGGCCATCTTGGAGAATGCCAATGTACTCGCCAGATACGCATCCATTTGCCAGTCAGAGCGCATTGTCCCGATTGTGGAACCTGAGGTGAGGAAAGCGGTTTTTTTTTCATGCGTTCGTCGGTGATTTTGATGAATTTTTTTGTCTCTTTTTTTTGTCGCAGGTTCTTCCCGATGGTGATCACGATGTCGACAGAGCGCAGAAGGTTACCGAGACTGTGCTTGCAGCTGTGTACAAGGCCCTCAATGACCACCACGTGTACCTCGAGGGAACCCTGTTGAAGCCAAACATGGTCACTTCTGGTCAGAGCTGCCCCAAGAAATCCACCTTCCTGGATAATGCTCGGGCAACTGTTCTCGCACTCTCACGCACTGTTCCCCCGGCAGTTACTGGTGAATGATTTATTACAGTGTGAACCTTGTATCTGAGTCGATTTTTTCAAGTCCTCCGTCTAAATTCCCTTAGAAACCATGCATTGAAAATCTCTCTAACCTCCAAAACTCGAATTTTCTGAAGTCTTTTGACGATTATTCTCTTGACGGAGGGAATAGGCAAGAAATAAAAAATGTAACTTGATGTGTTTTGAAAGGAAGTGGAGGACTAATTGTGCAAATGAACCCCAGCCTCCAAATTCAACATCCTGTCAACTTATTTTAGAAGCAATTTAAGGCCCATAATATCACCATTTACAATTTCCGGCAAAAATGCTGTCTTTCCAACAAAAATGCTTGTTTCCCCTACTTTAAACTTTTGTTAGTCACACTTTTGCTGGTCCCTTGAAATTCTGCTGTATTTACAGATGGCATCACAAAGTTTTTGATTAATTTGTTGAAAAACTCTACAATCTTCAAATAAATTACCAAGATAGAATAATCCTAAATATGGGATCAATAATGCAATTGCTTTTTGGTCATACATTTTTTCACTGTTATAATTGAAAGTGATGCTGTGCATCTCGAAAGAAATTAAGAGAAAATTTAGGAATGATAACTTCCCCTTTGTTAAACCTGCCTTTCTACTGAAGTGTCATTTGTCTGAAAACACAAAATGAAACAAAAGTACATGTGGGAGAAGTACATGTACTTCTTTCTGAAGCTTATTCATTCATGCCTGTTTGTTCTCTCAAATGGAGAAAGAAGTGTTTCAATTAACTTTTTTTTTCAAGAAAGTTATTCATTCTGAAATTTAGCTGTTAAAATTCTGACGCAATGCGTATGTCATGTTGTGAACATACATTTTTTGAACTGTATTGCTTATCAAAAGCTTTCGTTGCTGGAAGAACTTTGAATACCATTTCAATTGTTTTCTTCTTCAGGCATTCATTGTTCAATAGTTATATGGCATATGCGCGGATTCGGGACCAAAAATTTGTCATACTGCAATTACAGCCTAAAATGAGTTTGTTAAAATGAGATACTGTATTTATAATATGGCGCCTTTTTAAAACTTTTTAAATTTATATCTCAATATTATGAAAGCTGGAGAATTACCGGTAATGTTGGTTTCAAGGAATTCGACCTGGAATTATTTTCGGATGATGCAGAGTTATTTTACCTTAACGTTAGGTACGTTCTTGATTATTTTTAAATTTATTTGTTAGTTATTTCAGAAATAAATCGAAAAGTTAGAGATGCGAACTGTTCAAAATGATTCCAACAAATTCGGCCAGAAAGAGATCCAAAAGGTTCTCGAATCAAAACACACCTGAATTGTTTAAATGTTTCGTTACGCTTTAAAGGCTGTTATTCACTCTCAAATACACACATGTCTGTTAAATTGTCTTGACTTTATTATTGCAGGTGTGACATTCCTGTCTGGTGGACAGAGTGAAGAAGAGGCTACCGTCAACCTGAACGCAATCAACACGATCCCGTTGCGCAAGCCGTGGGCTTTGACCTTCTCGTACGGTCGAGCTCTGCAGGCCTCTGTGCTGAAGGCCTGGGGTGGCAAGAAGGAAAATGTTCCCGCTGCCCAACAAGAACTCATTAAGCGTGCAAAGGTACATTTTTAGTTTATCCGGGATTTTTGCATCGGAAAACCTGTGCCTTTTTTTGTTCACTATCCGCGGTGCAAAGAATAGGATTTATACGTGAACGAATTAATTTTCTGATACATCTGGACTCTCCCTCTGCAGCGAAATTCAAGGGACCAGAAAAAAATTGTTTTAGAGATACAGTAATTTCGTTTTAGAGAACTTGTGAAGTGGAGACGAGAGAACTTTGTGGGACGAAACTAAAATTCGTTACGCGGAAATAACGTATCTCTGGAATATGATTCTGTCTTTTGTAGAATGAATGAAGGATTGACATTTTAATTAAATTGGTTTCCATATCAAATTCTAAAGTCGTCAAGCCCGTATGTACAGTTGTAACTTAACCAGTTAAGGATTAGAAGTAGCTCATGCTTTTTTACGTCGCATTTTTATTTTGACGGCTTTCGTAGTTATGCAGAAGCTCAGGTATTGTTTCAGTAAACAAAAATCGAGTTTCCTTGTTTCAGGAAGGAAAGCAGAAGTACAGGGATTTTTCTGGGCTTTAAATTGCTTCTTAAATTAGTTGACATGATGCGGAACTTGGAGGCAGGGGTTTATTTGTTCAATTATAGTGTTTCACTCTCTTTCAAAACGCATCAAGTTACCTTTTTTATCTCTTGTCTCCTTCCTGCGTCAATAGAATAATATCCAAAAGGCCCCAGAATATTCGAATTATCAAGGTTTGAGGGGGAATAAAGCCTTCGAATTATGCAGGTTCATCTGCTGCATAAACAGTAGATGAAAAGGTTTTCAATGTATTCTAGAAAAAGCTTTTTTAGTTATTTCCTTTGATTTATCATGACTGGAAACGGATTGAGAGACAAAATACTGAGCATTCATTATTTATTCATCTGTGGATTCCTTTCCGAAATTTCTGATTTTTTGAAAAAGTGGCCAGTACTTCCAAGTTTAGGTACTTGTGCAAAAAATTATTTGAGGAGTGACGTGCTAACGTTGATGTTTTAAGTAGAAGTGAAATTGAATTTTCGCCACAGAATCTGATAAAGTAAAATCTTTTTACAACAAACACCAATGCAACATTTTTTCTGGTGCGACTCGGTTTTTCAAACAATTATGCTGGAAAATATTAAAATGCCAGAAAATCAAATATCTAATTTATTTTAGGCAGGTATGATGTGGAACTTTTTTCTAGTCATCAATTTTCATCCAACAAATTATTCAGTTCAACAAACTTTTCTTGAGTCTCCAAAGGTATGCAGCTGTTTGCAATGATATCTTGCTGTATTACTGGAAAGGATTTAGAAGAGAGTTCGATTTGGCTTTGTGTGACTTCATCCAGTTGTACAGGAAGGTGGTTGAGCTCTTTGTATTCTGGATATGTGCCAAGATGCGGACATTGACCCGAGCTTGCTGGAAATATTCCGACAATTTTCGCCCGTCTTTCTGTCTGGATTTATTCTCAACATTTTAATTTTACTTTTTCACAGGCCAATGGAGATGCCGCTCAGGGCAAATATGCCGCTGGTAGCTGCGCTGGAGCTGCTGCTGGTGAAGGCCTCTTCATCAAGAATCACGCGTACTAAAAAGTGCAGGAAGGAAAAAGAATCCTCTGAAAAAAAAGCGAAAGAATCATCTCGTTTCTACCACTATAGCTTCTTCCTCCGTCACGCGCAGTATTTCCCTTTTTCACCCCGGGAGTGCGTCCTGCACAACGTTGATGGAGCATCGTGCAATAAGCTTGATCTAGCGTCTCTGGCCCGAGGGCCTAAAGTTACAGCTAATCATGAATAAATAATAAGTTTATCCTGCGAATTGGATCTTGTAGAGGAGAGAAATTTTAGTGTCTATATGAGTGTGTTGGTGGGGATGAGTCAAGTTCTATACATGTTCATGGATCTGTTGGTATTCAGAAGTTTGAGGTGCTGAAATGTGTCATGGAAAGCTATCCCGCTTGGGTTTGGAAGAAATAAAACCGCGGTCATATTGATGGTAGACACCAAATCATGTGTTTGAGTTATTAAATAGACTTCTAATACTCTATGACTGAGGCTGACAGAAATACTGTTCATCAGGTGGACTTCCTCAGCAACAAAATTCTGGAGAAAATAAAAATTTTCTCCAGAGAGAATTTTGTTCTCTATATAAGTACAGTATGTATAGGTATGTACACTCATATAAAAACAATTTACTGCTGTATTCTGTTAGCCAGAGAATAAGAGAACTCCCAGTTTATTCACAAGTATTATGGAGACCCCAATCGAACCAAAAACAAATCGTCATCCAGAAAAAAATGTTGAAAGAGTATATCTTTTGAGTTTTAGAGATACTTATTTTGTTTTTTACAAGGATGATTGCCATCAATCAAGACAAGAGATGTCTGTTTGACCTATGGAAAGATCAAAATTTATTGTATATGTAAGGGATAGATCAGACATTTTCCTAATCCTTTTCTGTACATGCTGGTCAACAATGCACACGTATATAATACCTGCAGGTCATCAAATGGATAGCATGCAGTAGGAAGTGTGTATATTGTACATGCTGTATTCATGTATTTAAAATGGAATGGCACCATCCAGCATTTAAATGCATATACATCAGTACAATGTTTTTGTCCCAAATAACTCCTATACTGTATAAGTCTGGTTGGGGATTCGTTTTTTATGCCGGTCTAAGTACAGAGGAACACCTTCGTACGTTATTATACTCATCCTAGATGTCGCGAGTACACCGTATACTGTTCTTGTATTTCCCACCATGGCGGCGCGCCCACTTTCTGAGGGTTGGTCACCTCAAGTTAACTGATCACTTTGTCTGTTACACGATGAAGTGGGAATTACGCGCGAGGTTTCTTTCATGCTCGGAGTGATGTAACGTGACTTCCGGGTACACTTCGATACTGCCCCCCAACTTAACTGTACAGCGCACAGCCAGGCACGGCGAATGCCCGCAGTATCCTCACCGCAAGTCTACATGCGTCATACAGGTGTCGCTACCATCACAATGTACAAGAACGGGGTATTCGGGCTGTGGAATACCCCGCACCTGGAAACGGTGGAATACAATGCTTTTCAACATGGGTTAATACATGGGAACCATGAAATAAGATGCATTTGAAAAAAAAAACAAGATCAAGTGGAGTATTTATTTATACATTGAGCTCACAGCAACCAGCCTGGTTTTTTAACTGTATGCTTTTGTGCGATGATCATCACTACAGGAAGCCAAGCAATCTCCTCGAGCTGTCCTGGAGCTGCATTTGGCTTCCAAATGCAGCTCGAGCCAGTGGCTTCGAGCTACTAAAGGAATATATAAATAAGGAATATTTATTTTAAAAGATAAATCAAGCATACCCATTGCACAGCAACCCTATGCTATGATAATGTTAATCTGGTTTTTTTTTACCTCCAGGCAACAATGAACAAAATGTTGTCATTCTTGTTTTTCCCATTCTTAAGAAACTACTTTCAGGAATTTTGTAAAAATTACCACCTTATTCCACCACCCATTTCTGGTTTTGATACACATCCCACATTTTTTTGCGTATAAAAACTGTGCATTTTCCTCCTGAACTCTCATTATAATTGCATTTTTTGGTGTGTCTTAGTGTGTGCTTCATGATCATGCCATTCATTTTGTTTCTTTTTTTCGAGAAAAAAATGAGAAGTGTCCTGTTTCTGCATTCCCAGTAAGGTCAATTTGTTCCTTTTTAACTGTATCTGTCAGGATGAGTGTGTATACTCCCTCAAAAAATGTGCCTCACCTTTACATCTTAATTGATCACCTCTTGAAAATTAAAAAATGCTCTAATAATTCAATCAGCAATATTTAAAATGCCTTTGAGGTATACGACTATTCAAAGGTTATCTTAGGAATTAAAAAGAAGAAGATCTATATTGTCGGGGAACAGAAACTCAATCACAGCAGTTTTTCCAAAGTTTTCATAGTTCTTAATTGGAACAAAGCCTTGATTTGATGTTCACCTGAGAATTAGAGGTTGTGTCCAAAAAAATCCCTCCAACAAAAAGGTGAAGCTTCATAAATCACTTCAAAATCCAACTCATGCAAGCAAACTTTTCACAGGACTAAAATGCTTGTGAGTTCAAAATGGAAAATTAAAACGGGGAATGGTGAAAACCCTGTGATTTGTATGAGCTGCTGGACATCAGTAATACTTAATCCCTGTTGTTGAACCTGGGATTCCTCCGCCAACATCGAGTACAAACTTCGGAAACATCTCATACCCGAAATTGATATCCTATAATGGAAGGTTTGTTTCAAACTTGATCATAGCCAACTCGAGTGTTTTACCATCAAATTCTACACCAGCCGTTCACTCCGTTCACTTATGCCAACCCTTCAAAGGCTGCAGCTACGACACCTAGTGGCCGGTCTTGTCATTAATGGATGCCTGCAGTAGGTCAAAGTNGCATCGTGCAATAAGCTTGATCTAGCGTCTCTGGCCCGAGGGCCTAAAGTTACAGCTAATCATGAATAAATAATAAGTTTATCCTGCGAATTGGATCTTGTAGAGGAGAGAAATTTTAGTGTCTATATGAGTGTGTTGGTGGGGATGAGTCAAGTTCTATACATGTTCATGGATCTGTTGGTATTCAGAAGTTTGAGGTGCTGAAATGTGTCATGGAAAGCTATCCCGCTTGGGTTTGGAAGAAATAAAACCGCGGTCATATTGATGGTAGACACCAAATCATGTGTTTGAGTTATTAAATAGACTTCTAATACTCTATGACTGAGGCTGACAGAAATACTGTTCATCAGGTGGACTTCCTCAGCAACAAAATTCTGGAGAAAATAAAAATTTTCTCCAGAGAGAATTTTGTTCTCTATATAAGTACAGTATGTATAGGTATGTACACTCATATAAAAACAATTTACTGCTGTATTCTGTTAGCCAGAGAATAAGAGAACTCCCAGTTTATTCACAAGTATTATGGAGACCCCAATCGAACCAAAAACAAATCGTCATCCAGAAAAAAATGTTGAAAGAGTATATCTTTTGAGTTTTAGAGATACTTATTTTGTTTTTTACAAGGATGATTGCCATCAATCAAGACAAGAGATGTCTGTTTGACCTATGTAAAGATCAAAATTTATTGTATATGTAAGGGATAGATCAGACATTTTCCTAATCCTTTTCTGTACATGCTGGTCAACAATGCACACGTATATAATACCTGCAGGTCATCAAATGGATAGCATGCAGTAGGAAGTGTGTATATTGTACATGCTGTATTCATGTATTTAAAATGGAATGGCACCATCCAGCATTTAAATGCATATACATCAGTACAATGTTTTTGTCCCAAATAACTCCTATACTGTATAAGTCTGGTTGGGGATTCGTTGTTTATGCCGGTCTAAGTACAGAGGAACACCTTCGTACGTTATTATACTCATCCTAGATGTCGCGAGTACACCGTATACTGTTCTTGTATTTCCCACCATGGCGGCGCGCCCACTTTCTGAGGGTTGGTCACCTCAAGTTAACTGATCACTTTGTCTGTTACACGATGAAGTGGGAATTACGCGCGAGGTTTCTTTCATGCTCGGAGTGATGTAACGTGACTTCCTTCCTATTTCTTGATTTGTGCCTCGTAATGGTGTCGGTTTCGTTATAATGATTTTCGTATATAGTTTTACATCAATGTTTATTGCAGAACTTAAGTTGAGCCGATTGAAATGGATGTGT